ATATCACAAATAATGGAGAAAGTGTTTAAAGACCAAGTGTCAGACAACTTACTAGAACATGAACTTATCAATCCATCACAACACGGATTCCTCAAAAAGAGATCATGTGTGACCTGTCACATAGACGTTTTCAACGAAGTTACACGAAGTAGGGACAACAGAGAACTAGTAATTGTGCTATATTTCGATATAACAAAAGCCTTCGGCAGAGTTCCCCATTATCTGCTAGTCAGCAGGTTATGCTCACTAGGGATATGTGACCCTCTCCTGAGCTGGATAAAATCATTTCTCTGTGGCCGAAGTCAGACAACGAAAGTTGGCTCGATAATCTCAAGGCCTAAACCAGTAAGTAGTGGTCTAGTCCAGGGAAGGGTATTAGGCCCACTCCCATTCATAATATATATAAACAGTATTTGTGAATGCTTAAGTGTAGGAAAACCAGTACTATATGCAGATGACTTAAAAGTGACGTATAAATGCAAGAACACAGATCTTGGAATAACAGTAAACGCCATACAGCAAGAATTAGAAAAAATGGATAGATGGTGTGACACCTGGCAACTCCAATTTAATGTCAAAAAATGTGGCTGGCTCTGCATAGGTTGCAACAATTTAGAACTTGACCTGACAATTCAAGGCCATGCACTTCTGCGACAGGAATCTGTACTGGACCTAGGGCTGAAATATTCACATAACTTATCATTTTCTGAACATACCTCCAAAAAGTGTCAAAGTCACGCAGACTTATCGGCTTTCCACTCAGAAAGTTCTACAGAAGTGAGTCTAGAATTCTGTTGTACAAGGTTTGTGTGCGTCCTTTATTTGATTACTGTTCATTCATGTATAGTAGTATGCGCATAAAGGGCAAATTTAAAGTCGAGGGATTGCAGAGGTACTTCACGTTTAAATTACTCGGAACCGAAAATGGCGCGAACTACTCCACTAGATGTGATGCCCCAGGACTAGAAACACTATGGCTAAGACGCCTGAGACTAAACTTAACACTTTACTATAAGCTTCTAAACCACTTAGTTTTTACCTCTACTAATGGCACTCGACTTTCAGATGACAATGGCTACAAACTAAGACACACTAAGGGTACAGTAGCTATCGAACAATGTAAAACAGCCACCAGGAAAAATTTTACATGATCAGGTATGCACAGATATGGAATAAACTGCCAATGGAAATGCGTCAAGCAAGTACATTGGCCTCCTTCAAAAAGGTGCTTAATGACAAACTACAAGAGTTTGCAAACGATAGTAGTTCTAGTTCCTATCTGAGAGCCTCCGAAATTATAGGTCCATTTAATGTATAAGCTTAAATACTACACCTGTTGTTTTTTGCCTATATTTATAATTCTAGATAAAACATTAGCGATTAAGATGCGTATCCTCAAACAGACAAGAAATTTCGTTTGCAAAACTACTACCCAACACAATAAGCGGGATAAAATGGACATAAACCGACAACATGAAAAAGGTATAACTCACCACAACATCACATGGACAGATGTACGCTCGTTGGGCACCATATATCCCTCACCAACTGCAACCCACCTTTCCTTAGATAATGTGATGAACTTATATCCATAATGTTGCTGAGCAGTTAATATTCTCAACTCCTGTCGGAACAGCTGAATTTCATAAACCTTCCTTACGCTAAGAAAATACCCACAAGCGGTAGAAATCCATTAATTAATGCGTTTGAAGCTTATGAATTTCTCCCAACAATGACATTGCAGGTCAAATGAGATAAACAAATCACTGATTTCAAAATAACACATCAATGAACTATAATTCAAGGATTCTGCACATAACGAAGTTATGTGTGAAAATTGACTTCAAGCTTTATTTTTTTCCCAGGCACTTATAATCCATCCACCAAAGACTTGGTTTTTTTTGTTAATGCGAGGACAATACTTCTGTATTTCCTGATGTGTTGCACTCACTGACAATCTACCAGAGTTTTCCAACTGTTTTATACTACTGGGATTAACATTTATCAAGTATATGTATAATCTCCAGTGAACATGTAAGGCATATCTTGCTACTGCCTGTAAATTGTGATTGAATTATATGGCTCTATTTCTGTAACAATTTGATGATGCCTATTAACTGGCGTCCCTCATGTACTCTACTAAGAGAATAAATTTATTTATTTATTTATTTAAATGGGGTTAACTATTAGGATTAAATGCGGCGTCTGGGAAACTTTTGTTTACGCGATTAGATGAACAGATAGCAACGTACCGTGTTCTGTGGTCCCGAACCGTAGGCATTCTGTTTTTAATTTTTATGATAACCATAGTTACATTGAGTTATAAGGATAACAGTATAGGTACAGTCTATCCTCATGGTACATAGGGATACGAAGAGATCACAAGCATATCATCTCAGGTAGATTTATTTTCACTTTGTGAATATGAATCGTGAATCAGGTTATGTGTTCTGCTAAGACGATGGATAACTCGAAACGCTTTATAATCTCAATACCTCCTTTGAGATTTGGACATATTCACTTTATTTAATTACAACAGTGTCTTTTACCGATAGGTTTCTCCGAATATCTACTTTTACTTAGTATTTCAAATATAGCCTCACATACTATGTACCTCACAACCTACGCAAACACTAATATTCGGTCTTATCAAGTAGAAAATACAAATGAACAACGACGAAGCCATTTATTTATGAATCAACATGTAATACAAAATCAATGACACTGTGGAAATGTTCTTGGGCACCCAGCTCCATGAAATCCTCGAGTGCAGCTATCACCTGAAGAAGAAATTAGGCAGTCAAAAGATGTAAACATTCCCAGTCGGCGAAATTTTTTGGGACCTGGGATATGTGGGCAGTTTTCCGTTCAAATTTGGGCTAAGTGGGAAAAGGTGGGAGGTTTTCGGTTAACATGGGTGAAATGGGCAAAGTGTTCGTTGAAAAGACGAGTAAACTGGGAAAAAGTGTGACAATTTGATTTTTCTGGACGTGCGCAAACCATTATATGTACAAAATTCAAGTGATAAAAAATACTAGATAATGCTTTAAATTGTGTATACTTACGTCATTCTAAATTTTTCAAGCAGAAAAATGGGTATTGCATCTGTCTGTAAAAACTAAACCTACGTAGTATATGAAGTAAATAATATGTGAAGCTAATTCCCAAGTATTTCTGTAGATTTTCTTTAAATAGATACACGTGGAGGACCTTTGACAGCATCACTTAAAGTACACAACAATGTAAGTGAAAATGACTAAAAAACGAACTAGCCTACCTCATCGTGTTTATGTTCAATCCTTTGAAATGCAAAAAAACATCACTAAAATTCGTTACAACGTGTGTCTTCAAGTAATTTGGCATTTTCTCAACGAATCGCTACGTATTTCAACTATTTGTAAACTGGCCGTAATATTGCTGCCGGATAAGAACACCATCATTTGCTGTTCATTCTAAAAACGCCTTATTCCAGCAACATTTAGCAGGAATACAAGCCTAAAAGTGAGTACAACAACCAGTAATTACCTAATTTTGAGGCTTTTTCAATAAATATAGCCTACTGACATCAGCTGATCAAATGATCAAAAGTGCGTCGGTGGCACAGTGTTTAGGACTCTCGCCGACCATGCACATGGTCCGGAGTTCGATCCCCTGCCGGTGCACACCCGATATCTATGGTCGGCCTGAATTTGGGCTACCGATATCCATGCTGAAAATTCCATACTTGTACTGAAAATACGGTGTGGAATCAAGCTGTAAATAAAAAAAATAAAAAAATAAAAATAAATATATGACCTATGGTCGTATACTGGCCGCCAGTCATCAGTTTGAAAACAAATTAAATAATCGCGAGAGTATGTAATGCAGGCAAAATTTACCAATAGCGTCCCAGGAGTACGAACACATGAGTGACCTTCAGCTGACCAACCATAAAAATGGGGAATGTTTGCTCAAAAAATGATGTTTATTGACAAGAAAATGATTGAAAACGCATTAAACAGGTTATCTTTCTCTGACAAGGCCTAAAAATACGTCCTAGTTGTTATCAGTTGCTAAGTTAGACTAGTTTCTGTACATGTATTCACCGAGATGACTACAGATAAACTGTTTATTTGAATCATTTCTCTCTTTGATCCTGCTTGTAGACTTCCAGAAAAGCCTTCGGTTGAACTGTAACGGTTTCCAGCAAGAGGATAGACGACTAATTACCAGGAAAACGTGGATAATAAGAAATTAAAATAAATGACATTCGCTATAAATCTATCCCTAATCGTAACCCTAACCTTAATCCTGAACCTAACCACAACCCATATTCAAACCGTAACTCTAACCCTAATGCTAACTATAACCCTAATCCTAACGAGGTAATTACACATTGTCCAAGCAGTACTTGAAACGTGATCTGGGTGAAATTTGCTTCTAAGTTGGTGAGTAGCGTCTATATTTCAGCTATGATAATGACAGATGCCATTAGCCAATGACTAGCGTGCTTTCAAGGTTATTGGAGCGTTCGCACTCGACAGAGGATAGCGGGGCGAACGGTTTACGGAGAGGATGAGCATTTGAAGACCACTTACGCACACTGTGATTGGTAGATTTTCCCTTGCGTAAATGTTGCGGCTAATACGTGTTGTACGTTACTGAGGCGGGCTTTGAAATTGCAATCATAAAATTGTAAAGACATTATATTTTTAGCTTAAGGGAAGTTAACATATGTATAAATTTCACAGATGTGATAAGCATTGGATCCACTGACCTGAAGAATATTACTGAGTAACTTCCATTATCTATATCTTTAGTATAAATCAATGTACGCTACAGTTCCAACAGAAGATGGTTCTGTTCTTCAATTGAATACATATATGGGCCAAGTTAAACTTTGGACACCAGTAACTACCAATCAGCGAACGATGTCAAATTATCCAATGAGATTCACGAACGCATTTCAATGTTGTATAGCGCTTGATTCATTTCCACGTGTGCCCTTACAAGGTTAGGTTATGTCATCGAAAAAACCACCTCGTGCACTGTATATTCCTCCAGCATTAAGAAACAATGTAAACAATGATCTTAACATTTCTAATGAAGTCGGGAAACGATCATCCATCTCAGAATCTTCGATGGCATATCTCTCTGTAAATCAACATACCGATGACATAGAACAATGCTTCAAGTCACTGGAGCTTTCTGATAATTCCACTGAGGTATATAATGATGGCTCCAAGAAGACCGTTTTCAACCCGAAAGTATTATCAAAAAACGAGCAATCTCTTGATCAAAAAACCGAACCACCATTAAAGTTAAGTGATTTTCAGCACATCATTGAATTGTACAATTTTCCAAAAGATGTTGAAAATTGCCAATTAGAATCTGAACTCTCGGGATTTCAAGATAGTGGAGTTTACCTAAAATGGGTGGATGATGAACACTGCTTGGCTGTATTTTCATCTAACGATGAAGCAAATCGTGCACTGGCTCAAATATCAGGACTTATTATGAAGGCAAGAAAAATAGACGATGCTTCTTTAGCTAGTAAAAAGAAGATTGCACGTGCACCTGGTGATTGGTATATGCCGTATAAAAAGCGTCCATTAACAACTAGTTCAACAGCTCATCGATTAATTTCAAGTCATTTAGGCATTGCGTCGTCTAATAAAAAGAAATCAGTTGAAGATACGGCTAGAGAAGAACAAAATAAGGCTTTAATACGAGAAGCACGTGCTCATGCAGAAGGAATTCGTCAAGCACGAAAAGCCATATGGGAAGGTGGTGACTAAGAAATCAGCGGATAGTGTAAACCTCTTACTGTTGTACAAAAACTGTCTATCTATCTTGTCTTCATTTTACTATGCATTATGCATTTTTAACTTGTATTTCACTAATTATCATTAATAATGTGTAAGCAGACTTTGTCCCATTGGTCGTTGTTTTTTTCCTTCGGTGAGTTTTATTCATCCTGTATACATTGGTGTATAATATTATTGGTTAGTCAGTTAACAAATACTATATCAACTAAACTGTTCAACTGTCATATATATCACTGACACGCAATATTTTCAAAGTATGCTTACTTTTTTATTTTTGTATGTATTATAAGTAACTTGGTTATTGTATGTGGTGACACTGTGTGCACATATGTTTTTTTTTGCTGTATGTGAGGGTATTGTTTTTGTTGCTTCTCTCCTCTCCGCTGACTGACTTCCATGTTATACTTATTTATTTATCCTTTCTGTTTTGCTTTTTTTTCTACACAAGCCTTTCATAAAGTGAAATATTTTGAAATCTACCTTATTTTTTAATGCCTTGAATTGTAATCATATATCTGAGGTGTAATCATCACTCACAGTAGAGATCCCATTATTCTTATGTATACACGTCATCTTAATGTTAACTAGATTTACTCATGCGCCTTTTATGGTCTGAGTGAGTGTGGTATATTTTTTCACCATTTTGTTAACGGCTTCTTATTGCCCCTAGTGGGATGTGAGATGAAAGTAATTGAAAAAACACACTATGGTTAAAGTATTTATTTGTTAAAGATGTGTTGTCTCACTGTGATCTAAACAACAGCTGACCTTCAAATTGTTGTTGTTGTGTTGGGTCATGCAGTATCTATCAACGTTTGAATAGCAACATATCAGCATCAGCCTTCACACAACTAGTGTAAATCATTTCTCTCTGTATGTATGTGTGTGTGCATGCATACAAATGTTCTCATGGTTACTGGAGTGAACTGTTCCATCTTTTTTATTACCTAAAAGTCTACTATTGGATCCACCTACAAGAAGAATATTACTGGGTATATTATTCGAAGAAGTATAAAGTTTGAAGATTTGATCTCTTTCAGTTGGTTGTAGCGGATGGATAAGAGAGTCACTTGTATAATATTTGCTATTTACAGAAGAGAAAGTGTGACAGGTGATTTAGAAGTTCCACAACTCTTCAAATCTATCGTGGAATATATGGACGAATAATCTGTAGAATTCCACCAACTCTGTGATTGTTCCCTCCCTTGTTCACATATTCAGTGTGTCTAAGATGAGGAATTGTTTACCAGAGGTAAGATTTTTTACCTGATATGTATATATCCTCAGATATTTCTCAATACAGCCGAAGGTATTCGAAGGAATACAATGTCAGTCTCTGCTTGAAAAATTCACATGCAGTTTCTCGGAACTGATCTGGTGGAGTCGAAAACTGCAACTGGTCCAACACCATTACCAACAGAGGTAAACTTATGCAGACGTTGCGGACAGAGTGTTGAGTGGACTTCATGATGATTACGACGCAGCTATAAAATCTCTACAACTGTGGTTTTTTCACTGGATTGTTATTAACTCTTTTTAATGTAGATATTTACTCTTTCATTCTGAATTATTTTTAAATTGATTGATTATTGTTTCCTTGCAAATGTATGCATTTATGTCGACTATCCTTGTCACTTATCATTTTGAAGACACTGCAGAGTTAAGGAGTATGATAGGCAACGTATTAATACTTATGTGAAATGCGTCAGTCTCAAACTGTTATTATTTCCTCAATGAGTCACCAAGCCTAGCGGGAAGTGTTTCAGTTACGTTTGATCCGGTTGCATATAATATTAGTATTCACAATTGTTAAGAAAATAGCCGTTGAACATGTTTGTAGTGTAATAACGAAACATAACCTAGTAAATGTAGGTTCTACGCGTACACGACTTGTATTGGTAGTCTAGGTACTTCAAGTACACTAAGCAACGTTTATCCTATTTGTCACAAATAGTCTAATATTCTCACGTTGCCTTTAACAACACTATCTCATAGGAAATCATTATGTAATAAAAGAATAACTACATTACTCTTGTTGTGTTGTCTATTGGTATCAATAGGTTCTTACATGATCACATCAACACTTAGACTTGTATTAGTTGACCACGTCACTAAACTACATTGGTCATTTTGTTATCACAAAATACTGCAACTCATTAGATAGGCTTTTGTTTTGCATATCGCGGAAGCAATTACTCAAAAGCGATAAAACTACCCCATCATGACCAAATTCAACCAGGTGTAATTATGACATTTTACGAATATTACGTCTTATACACTGGTATCGCTTTGCAACTCTACAAAGAGTAAGTATTAACAGTGTGTAAATGGAATGCAAAATTTTAAAAAAATATATTTATTTCGATAAATACATTCATAATATCGCAAATATTTCATGATTCACACAAATATTATCCTTTTTAATCCCATTGGAACCAACTCAGTTTCCTTTCTTACTTTGAAATTTGGTAAAGATCATGAGATCATAATTACCTAGATATTTAAACCCCTCCTCATTATTTACGTAAAATACACTACAAAAATTGGAATTATATAGCATTTTCTATAATAATTGACATTTTCCAGCGAATTCGAACGTTTCTGATGCACCTCAGCATGTCAATTCGATGAAAAGACGGCATTTTGTCGACACAGTGAAAACGACTATTTTTCTCACGTTTTTTCGGTAATATATAGTATTTTAAAGGTATTTCTGTCGAAAAAACAACACAAAACAGCCCAAACACAACATCACGATAACACCTTAAATCTGCAGATTTGTGCCTCTATCCTCTGCCTTCACACTCCTGGGACCCTATTATTGAACTTCGCCTGCCCTGTGATAACACAATGAGGGGCGAACCACGTGCGAGCAGTCACGCCGGAAGCACAGTGAAGGCGCGACGCCAAGAATGCATACATAAATGAACAGTTGAAACAAAATAATTCCAAGTAATCGGATGTAATATAAGTGACGGAAAATTTTGGTAGCCCAAGGTTTAGGCAGGCCGTCGCGCAGACGGTTCCAAATACAACGGTATTTCACTGTGTAGGAATTCGATCTGTATTTCGTATGACACCTGGGCACTTTAAAAGATGAAGATTTATTTCTGAGGTTATATTTCTTGGGCGAACTTAAAGTAAATTCATTGTGAGGGAAATATATAAGCCCTTTAGTAATCCTTAACGTAATTTTTAGGTTGAACTTCAGTCGTCTGATCCATAAGGGTTCCAAGTCGAATATGTTACATTCGTCGTAGTAAGAAATGCAAAGATTGCGACCTACTAGACGTTTGGTAAGCGCTCTTCGTAGCCTTTCTAATTTGCACCTGTCTTTTACGGAGACATCGTCCATGATCGGAGGATAAAATTCAAGTAAGTGCCCTATGCATAATTTGCACAGCATAATTTTGGATTCACACGTCTTAAAGTTTCGGAATGAAAACCCAAGAAGCCTTTTGACTATTGATACCTGTAATTTAACATATTCTGAGAGGTTAAACTCTGGGGTGTACTCCAAGCCCAAATCTGTTTGAAGCGGCAAGCGACGAATATGAATGTTGTGTATGGAGATGGAAAGTTCAGATGAGATGTTTTTGGAGCATAGGACACCACATTTTTCAACGTTAAATTTTCTTTTCCACTTGTTACACCATAATTGAACGCTACCAATATCATCCTGAATCCTATGAAATACACATGACACACTATTTCTGAGCGAATGATACACTATTTTGATGTCATCAGCAAATAGAAAAGGTCTGGTATGTTTGATAACATCTCAAAAGTCAGTGAAATATAACAGGAATAACAGTGAACCTAGGACACAACCTTCTATAACTCCACTTGTTATACGAACTAGGTTGAATGTGTGGGGACCTAACCTGACCATTTGCATCCGATTGCTTGGAAATAACTGAGCCAGCTTAACAATGAACCTTGGATCCCATAAGATTGGACTTTTGATATTAACAGTCTGTGGCTTACAGTGTCAAAGGCTTTACTGAGATCTAAGTATACAATAACTGTGATCATACTGGAATCTTTAAGTTGTGAGATGTGATTGAAAAGTTGTAAATAATATGTCGTGCAAGAACGTGACTTCATGAAACCATGTTGATAAGGAATGATAAATTTCCCTCAAGAGAGGAAGTAAAAAATGGCACTTTTCACAATGTCTTCCAGAATCCCTGAAATAACGGAAGTTAGGTTAATGGGTTGGTAACGCATGACACTTGAACGGGAGCCTGACTTATACCTAGGGGTAATGTGCGTGGATTTCCACGTATCTGGGTATGTCCCAGTTGATAGAGAGGTAGAGAACACTTTAAGAAAATGAATGGGAATGTCCTCATCACCTTATTTTAAAAAAATTAAGGGGACCGTGTCAGGACCAGGGTTGTTTGAACTTTTAAGAGAAGCGATCCCTTTCTTAATGTCATTTGAAGAGAAGCTAAGAGTTTCTAAAGTTTTTGTGAACGTAGAGGGAATGGAGGTTGTGGTGACGTATTAATATCATAGATATATGACTGTGAAGAGTAAGAAATAAGGTTACAAATTAATGTAGGGTCACTAGCAGTTTCACCATTTTCTAAAATGAATGGTATATCCGTTTTAGGAGTGCAGCCTTTTGCAATAAAGCCTACAGATTGCAGTGTATTTAGAGATATCTTTAAGAGTTGCATTTCCTCGTCGTTATTTTCTTTTAATTTGAGATAAACGTTCTGTATATTCACAAGACACGAGAAGTCGTTTTGGTACTGTCGGTGTAGTTTTCTCACCTTAGCGTTTACATTTTAGGAATGAAGTTTTTATGTTTAGGCTAGAATTATTTTTACATTAAGGAACAAGTTTATCAAAGCAAATAGATACATTCTGGTAAGAGGCTAGTAGGATAGCGTCTAGGTTACTACTAGAAAAGAACATATCCCAGTCTAAGCTTCGATTGAAGGAGTTAGATGCGTCCCACC